CCTGTTTAAGACATTTATCCTGTTTAAGACAAAAATTGATAAATCGATACCCTGATTAAGACAAAAAATGATAAATTCGATACCATTTTCCTCCCTTTTTAAAACAAAATTCCCATTTTTGTAAACCCTTTCAAAAAAATTTTCCCTTTCTAAAAAAAAAATTAAAAAACCATACCCCGAATAAAAAAAAAAAAGATAAAATCCAATCCGCGTTTAAAACAAAAAACCCCAAAAAAATACCCCGGGTGGGCCCCCCTCCCCCTTAAGCCCCTTTAAGGGGGGACCCCCCCCCCCCCCCGGTATAGTCCAGACGTTTTAGAGTGTCTGCGACGCAGGCTAACCCACATTGGTGTACGACAGGTTTTTAATGATATCGCCTATTAAAATAAAATTGAATATTTTTTTCGCCCGGTCACGAAAGCTAGCCATCACGTCACATGCCTTTTCTTGCTCCAACTAGTTCAAGATCTTTTATGTGGTTCTCGCGGTCACTTTTTGAACCGATTAATTACGGCAAAACAAACCTGAACTTTACGTTTAAAATAAGTGGTCTTCCCATCGGAACTTGCCTTGAAATTTGACTAGGGTAAGTATTTATTACTTCTACTTAACTCCAAGGGCAGCAAAAAATTTTGATCATAAAAGCATTTAAGTGTCGTCTATTTTATGGAATGAGTTGAACTCGAGTGTCGATCGGCTCCTGAAGTAGGCCTGCTTGGGATTAAGCCTGACCTTGGTTTTAACCTACATTAGCCGCATTAGAGTTCCTGTTTTTGTTTGGTCAAGCTCTGAAGTTCTATCATCAAACTTCCATTGGCTACAGTTGTATGTGACATGTTCAACCATGTAGGTAACCGGAAACCCAAAGAAAGTGCGTTAAAATCCCATATAGAAAATACATCTCCCCTAAGAATACAGAAATCCAGACAGCAGGCCAGAACATGTTATACAGTTTGGCCATTGTATTTTTTTTGATAGTTGACTGGTTAAGTTAGAGATTCCAATTTAAAAAAGTAGACAAGAATACCTGTAGTCAAGAATACAGAAGTCAAAATGTGCATGATCATTGTTGGCACTTCCTCGTTTAGCGAGTGGTGCGCTCGCTCAAGTCTGTTTTTGTTTCAGTTGAAGACAAGATGGAGGCTATGTATTAAACTGTTGTAACTTTCACTTCACAACAGTAATAATGTGTCTCAAATATATACACTCTATTGTCTGGTACTGAGAGAAAAGCTATAACAAAGTTTGCTCAACTGTCGCGTGATTTGGCAGATTGTGGGGGCAAGTTGGTGCCCCCAATAGTACAAACTTCTGCCGGTAAAATTGCGCACCTTGACCGAGTTTTTGAGCAATATCTTCGCTCGCTTCAGACGTATCACCTTTAAACTTTGTAAGTTTACTTACTTTAGGCGGTTTTCTCTGATAGAGTGGATAGACATTCGCTTACTGGAGTTGATCAAAACTGAAGAAAACAAACGGTGAAAGGGGTTAAAGGGTTAGTTATTTATTGCCCCCGCAGGGATTTCGCGGAGAAGGCGAAATCCCGAGGAGGCACTCAGGTAACTCGCGCGTATATTAAGGAAAGTACTTACAGTTGAAATATACAGTCAGTATGCCAGAAAAAATCTCTATTTGCTTGAACAGGGGCCGCGAGGAATCGATAGGTAATGATAGCCTGCGTAGCAAGCGTTTCTGTGCGGTTTAGGAGCAAAGAATGAGGAACAAGAGTCAAAGACCTCTCTTTCATTTTTTGGTTCTCGTTGCATTTCTCGCGTTGTCAAAACCGAAAGTCCCCTTCCACCATCTTTTTTCGCTCCGAAACCAAACCGAAACACTTGCTACGCAAGCTAGGTAATGATGACGTTTCTATTGTTTGCGACCGCAAGTACGAAATGGTTAGGATGACGTAAAGACAGAAAATCCGAAAGGGAGCTCTTACTGGTAGATTTTGTGACATTTATTGTGCAGTCACACTTCGATACTCTTTAAATTTATACGTTAAGTGTTATCTGTGACATTCTTTGGAGCAGTCGGTTTTGAAAGTTATGGACCAAAAGATACTCGTTAAGTGCAGATGAAGTTATAAGGTGCGCACAACTGTGTATATATAAACACTTGGAGAGTTTGCCAGACACGAGTTCACAAATCTTTGATTGGAAACCTCTCCAGACACTCTTTCTCTCTCTTTGACCGGAATAAGACTCAGCCCTAAACAAGCAAGACGAGTGAACAACGGCTAGCTTATCACTCGCAGAACGATGGGCGATTACAGAAATTCGCCGACAATCAAATTCTGTGCTTACGAATTTCCCTGCTCACAGATGTCCTTTCCTTCTGCTCACAGACGTCCTTGCGCGAGCGTGAATTGATCAAACTTCCTTTTAATTTCTAAGGCCTACTTTCCGGCAAATAAAATGAACTGAACGTAAAAAATGAAAGCGAAATAGCGAAAAATTCAACTCCTTATTAAATCTTTTTTTATGGTTTAGAATCAACTATTCTCGAAACTGAGAATGTTTTGATCAAAGCTGTGTAAATCGAACTGAAACTGTGCATGGAACCTTGCGTTTCCTGTATTTATCTCACCTATTGTATAGATTGTGTGCGAAAATCTTCATTATGAATCGGTATATTTCAAAAAGCTACATAACGAGCAAGAACACTTTTGACCGACAACATACGGACCGGGGGCAGCTGTAGTGTCAACTATTACTAGTCAATTCTTAATATGTATTCAGTAGTTGGTTTCATTGTTGCCGTCGCCAACGTTATCGTTGCCGGTTTTTACTAAATGTTAGAAAGAGATTCTGTTGCATTTTGTTTGGCCTACCTGTCAGATATTATACGTATTTCCTGCATAAAGTATTAAACCACCTACCTGTGACAAATATCTACTTTTCGCCGTCACTTTTACAGGTGGTGTTATAAATGTGCTAGGTATTATGTATTAAGTATATCTTTTTACATCGTTTTGCATAAGTATCACCGATAGTTCGATATTATTCAAAAGAGAACTGCGCGCAGAAAATAGCCAATCAAAGTGAAAAATGAAATGATAATGTCAACAAATGGTCGCGTGTTATATTCGACTCCTGACCTTTAATTTGTTCTAAATTTAATAATTTATTTTTTATTCATGACAGTAATAATTCATTGTAAGTTTTAATTATTTTACCCCACACAATGTACAGGGAAAAAAAGATACAGTTAATGAATATATTCTATGATTATTTAATGCTAATTAGATAGCGAATTCTATGATAGAGAAACACCTCCAAAAGTTTATTGAAAGCTGTCTTAAATTAAGGTCTGCTTTGCTGAAGTCTACAATTGACGAAATGAAGCCCTTTGCCCTGTTGCCATAGTGTTGCTTGTTCCTTCATGTTTGAGACACGGTCCACCGTGCCAAGAAAATACTCACGGCTAGCAGGTTTTAAACTCGGAATAGGCTAACATACCAGTCTCCAAGTGTAACGAAAACTGAATGCTCCGGATCGGTGAGGAGTAGTTTTGTCCACATTATGCCAACGATCAGCATTTTAGGCAAAGGATTCAGTCATTATGCTGGACCAGAATTATAGTGCAATCTACATTTCTTTGACTCTTTTAGCCTGCGAATACAGCTGTCTCTCTCCGCTAGGGAGGTTTCGCCCTAAAAAAGCGAGGAACGAAGGTAGACGGTCGTATTCGCAGGTTACGAATCTTCATAAAAATTTTTCAAAAACCATAAGATGAAACACCAGCCCATGTACCGTATTTTAAGACCACGCCTGGTTACAAATTAGCGAAAACATGACATCCAGTAGTTGCAGTTTTACAACAGTCAGCTGCCCTCTCGAGTTTGTCATTTCAACATGCACAAACGAGCGAGCAAAATCATGCAAAAGAGCAGTCGTATACTAATTATATAATGAAGCATAATAGTGACCCTATTTGAGTATAATCGTGACATTCGCTAAGCATGAATAATTAGCATAAAATTAGTAGTCTTCGCAACAGCAACGAGAACGACAAAAAACCAATAGGTTTAGAATGACAAAACAACAGTTTTGCACTTGCACTGATCACGCTTTTGTTATACATTTCCTTGTCGTCACTGCATCGACTACGACGTGAAGTTTCTTAATTTCATGTTATTTTATGGATGAGGTTAAAACAAGACAACGATTTGATTTTTCTTTTTTGTGAATTTAGATGCAGAATTTAGAGTTTAGAATTCAACTCCTGAAAAAATCGCCAACATTCAGTCGACTAACTTAAAGAGGGATAAATTTTAAAACAGCGCGAAATCTTTTTGGGGGTGACGTTTTCGTTGCTATTGCCGATGTCGTTGCTTTTCAGAACGCGCGAAAATTGCTGTCCTCTAATTTTTAAATACTAATCGCTTTAACAAGTAAGTAGACATAAATGATAAATATTTTTACCTTTATCATCCTCAATTTATTTATCGATTTATGTATTTGAGTATTTATTTTTATATTTTAATTCTAAACTGTTCTAAATGTATCCTCAGTATATGCGGTTATTCATTTAATATTTAATTTTCAAAATCTAAATTTTGCCTAAGCGATTTAGTTTTTTTCAAAATATACATTTTTCTTAAGTGTCAATACCCTTCAAGCTAATTTGCTGGAGTTTTTTTTAAAATTGTTGTTATAGTGTTATTGTTTTTAACATCCTTAAGTGAAGTAGTTTTTACTAAGAAGAAACCGGTTTCTTGGGCATTGTCAAAGGTCACAAGAGGAGATGATATTTGACCTTAAATTTTTTTGTGGAGACTATTACCATGGCCCAAACTAGAGAGCGGATTCCGATAAGATCTTCAGCAACACTAATATGCCTTTTGAAAAAACTTGGTTTAGCCATGGTGGATCGTAATCTCGACCAGGGAATAACACACCCAAATGCTAACCCAGCTGCAGGTGAAGGAAGTTTTAAAACTTAGTTACGTAATTACAAAATGTTTAATCTCCCAAATGACAAAAGACCAACGTTCAAAGTTAGACAGATGATATATAAGCTATATATTGGCCGTTTGTGTGTTCATTGTTTTCGACTTCAAAAAACCGATTTCTTGCAGTGAAGGAAAGTTGACTGATATTTGTGCCTGCATCTGCCGAGTGTGCGCTGTCAACGGAAGTTGATCTGCGTTTCAGGAAAAAGAATCGCAGAGAGGAGAATCTTAGAGACGAAGCTTGTTCAAACACAAAACTTGACTTTCTTCTCTTAGAGAGACCACGTAGAGCCCGCCAAATGTCACGTTTAAAAAACGTATAAAGCAGTGGATTGGATGCAGAAGTGATGAACCTCATTGTCGAAAACACATCGAGAGTTTTGAGAAAGACAGAGTCAGTGATAGAATCATACGACCTGCAATATAACTTGATGTTAATAAATAACATGAGTGTGAAATACGGAAGCCAACAGCTTAAATATATCGCCGCCATCAAAGCAAATACCAGGATGCACTTTCGGTCGGTTCGGTTCTTTTTTTGTAGTCGCTGTTTGTGTCCATGTTGTGATGGCCTCTTTCTACCGCTGACCGCTTTGAACATCACCGTGAACGCGTACAACATAAATACATACGGGACCAAGAACACGAAAACGAGGCAAAACGAGGAATAAATGATGAGACCAAGATTTGATTGTGAATTCGACCAAGTGAGGGGAAGTACAGCAATCAAAGCTGATGTGAACCAAATCCCCGCTAATACTTTGAACACTGCTTTTTTGGTGACTATGTGATGTCTCAGTGGCTGAAGAATAGCTAGGTACTTCTCCCAAGTTATGACGAGAATGTGATAGGCTCCTGAGACTGCCATAAAGGTGTGAAGGGCAAACATCCAAAAGGCAAACTGCGGAAAGGAAGTCGGGGGTACCACATTAAAGTTGAAAATGATAAAGTACGGGATGCTTACTGCGCCTGTCAAAAAGTCGCAGACCGCTAGTCCGAGTAGCAAATAATTAGACGAATTTCGAAGGCTTTTTCGTTTGTAGAACAAGTAAAAAACCAGACCGTTTGACACAATTATTGCAATGGCAATAGGTAGAAGCTTGTACATCTCTATGAAACCTTGGCTTTCTTGCAGACGGAAATCAGTGAAAGTCTCCATCGTGCTGTTGATCATGCTATGCTTCAAATGTAATGATCATCAAGGCACCATCACCTGTTGGTGAGTAAGTAGATAAATAAAAAGATTAATGAATTAAATATAAATAAAAGTCAAACATGACAAACAGATAATTCCTAATGGAATTTTAAACTTGAGTAACCGCAGTAACCGGTCCCTCCCCCACTACTGATAACGTTTAACAGTGACTACACATCCCACCAAACCACGTAACATTTTCAGACTCTAATCGACAACTTTTTGGTGACGCAGTTTCCATTAGTGAAAAAAAAATGCTTTCTCTTTTTTGTTTAAAAAATGTAAATGATTTAGCCTTTTTATTAATTTGGATTATTCTTAGCCCAATATAGTACTCTTCTTTTTTTAGAAAAATCTAAAATTGCGGATAAATGATTGCCAACATGTAAAATTGGAAAATGACGCCATTCTTCGTCATTCCAAACATTCTCCTATAAAGGAACTTCTAGAAAGGAATAACTACGTTTGCTTAACCGCTGGTTTAAGTATCAGTCCGGCATTTATGCAAATTAACATGCTACTTGCAATATTTTTGAATGCAAAAATGCAGATCGAGCATACGGATATGCTGACCTGCCCGCCAATGTTGTTGAGATAGGAAATTTAAGACGTTTTAAAATAGTTCTTAAATCGTACATGCGATAAAGAATCCAAAAATAGGTAGAATCTAGAATCTAAAATAAGTATTCGTATATAAAAATTAAAAATAAAAACCTTCAAATAAATGTATCCCAGTTGGAGAATTTGAAGGAAATTAGGGTATTATTTGTATCGTTTATTTCTTATGGTACCTTAAAAAAACTATGCCGTATGTATGTATGTATGTCAGACGGCTGGGCACAACTGAGTCAGGTACTTTTACGCTGGGCAAGAAACAGGTCTGAACGTAGAATACTGGAAAATACTGAGGGTCAAATTACTGAGGGTGGGAAAGACGTTTCACACGCCCCAGGCCCCAAACTTCGAGCTCTGCCAGCAGTAATTTTCGGACAAGAAAAAAAGAAAGTAATAAAAACGACTATTTTACGTGATTTACGCCGCGTCTTATTGCTAATGCCCTGGGAAAATTGACTGAAAACTATTAAAGACCAAGGGCAATAATGGAAGGACGGAAAAGAACACAAAATTGACTTGAAAATACTTCTTGATCGTGAATGCATATCTAGCCGATTTTTTGAAGACGAGCCCAGCGAAATCTGCAGCCATTTTTAATTAGTGAAAGAGGGTAAAAAGGCAGGTAGTGATTTGCACCCGAGAAGCTCGAAAATCACGCCAGCGAAGGAAAAGGACTAGAAAAAAGGAAAGAACGAGGAGGAAAAAAGGACGAGAAGAGAAAAACAGCCATGGTTACACTCTTAGTTTCTTTAATGGCTTCTTTGGCCGAAAACATACAAACTGCCTCATGTAAGAGGTCTATTTGGCGGTAACGTTTTCAAAAAGTCGGCTAGATATGTATCCTACAAACTTGTCCAATACTTGGATTTAAAAGAAAATATTCTTCCTACGGGGATTTTTATTCCCAGAGACTGCAAAGTGCAAACCTGTAAACCTGACCTACAACCCTTGGGACACTAACGCAATAACTCGTCAAAATAGGCATTTTCCCTACCCCTCCCCCCCACCCCTACCCCCGGTGCAGTGTTGACGTTTTGCATTCATTTTTGTTTCATCGTTTCATGACAATCAACACTGCTTGAGGGAGAGGGGGCAGAAGAAATAGCTCCTTATAACAACATCCCTAAGCTTTTTTAAGAGGTAGAATACCCAGAGTTAATTTAGCAAAGTGTGTCCTCGCGCCAAGAGACATAATGGCTCTTGCTCGCACCCAGTTTCCTCAAGTGTCCGGGGATGTTTTGACTAATAAAGGTTGTAGACAAAACGAAACGGCTGTCCATTAATTTTTTATTTATTTATTTTTTTTCTTTTTCCCTGAAATGTTTAATAAATGTTTAAGCTACATTCTAAAAGGTTTTTCACTATTCATCCCTCCCTATTCATCCCGTTTCCCCTCTATGCCTGACTTCGCTATCAGTTCTGTCTACTGATCAAGGCGCTCTTTGAGTTGTCTGCAAGATACAGCAGCACTACTTATCAGATTTGCTAATAATTTCTTCAGTGCTTTTGATTCTGTAGCTCTTAAAAAGAGGTCGTGTCGTCAGGATTGAGAAGCTTTGATAACAATGAAATTATACGTATACGTTTTAAACTGCTTGACAGTATTCCGAAAAGCGCTCAAACCTATCATTCAGATCATGGTTTTCTCCGTACCTTGAAAACAGTTTCAAAGTTAAACCTTGGGAAAATTATTTAATTCATCGTTTCCTCACAGGACTAACACCTTGCAAATCACCCCTGTCACGTGATAACTCATCAGCTGGTTGTTCCGACTTACTTGATAAAAGTCATATCAATGATATTTTGATCATTAAGTGAACATGACCATGCAGGATTTCTTAATGAAACGAAAATATTGTTTTCTTAGCATTCATATATATGATTTTTCAAGCTGCACACTCTTTCCCTCATTATATGAAAAAGTGTTAATGGTTTTATTTAGATTAACAATTTATCACGAAGTACCTTCTGGGGAAATTAGAAACTAAAAGTAAATAAAATTGCCGATATCAATCAACATATCTATTTATATTCAATACACTTTACTTCAAACTAAAATCTAGTGATACATGTATAAGCAGGCACGTTTGAACTATACTTGGACAATTTTTATCATAAACATCTTTCGTATACCGTAATAAAATTGCATGTAAAAGAATTCAAGAATAATGTTTGGTATTTTTCATATTTTCGACGAAAAATAAGAAACGAAAGCTGTTTCATCTAGTACTAGCAATTAAGATGGTGTTCATTTCTGTTTGGTAAAATTGCAATTTTATCAAGTAATCAAAAACATCCTTATTTTTTTTGGCGTTTAGACTTTATTTCAACGATACATGTACAACATGACGGCCAAGTGTTTTTTATAATCAGTTTATCATTCTCTATTTTGTTTCTGGACTCTGAATTATTACGATCAAGACGTTAAGAATAAAGAAAACAGCTGCTTTATTTTTTCTTGTTTGCGACAGCGGCTATAGATGAGCGGGGAGTGTATATCGAACTAGAAAGAAGTCGCTCCCTTTGCCGGGGAGTCAAAACTTGTTGATTTGGAAACTTTGCCGAAACGGCATGAGCACTTAATACCTGTAACCGAGAAATAAGATGAATTAATACAAACCCTGTATGATATTAAAAAGGCAAAATAATGTATTTATGATTTAAGACTGAATTGAGTTCGGCACAGCAGTATCACAGCACTCGAAACCAAGTCGTGCTACTACCCGGTGTACGGCAGTGGTCGGTACGACTTGGCTTCAAACGTCGTGCTACTACCGTGCGAAAGTCGATCAATTGAGTTCGGTACGGCAGTAGTAAGACGTTTGAAACAGTCCTGAGATGTCTGATCAGAAGCAAAAGGTTATATCTGTCCTTATAACCACGAGTCCGCCCAAAGCTTTGTCATTAGGGAATTCTTCAAAGGAAAATAGCGATTTCTATCGACGGCGGTAAAAAAAAATTTTCATTTCACCCCTCCCCCCTCTCTCTCCATCAGTGCTCAGTTTTACGGGTATTTAAGGCTTCTTAAAGCTACACGGGAAGCAACTGAAAGAAGTCGTCGAAAGAAGGATTTGCAGTCTCACATGGGAATCAAACTCAGGACCCCCTGCATAGAAGGCCACGTACTAACAAACTGCGCTAATCCTTCCTCCCAGTCCTAAACTGTGAACGATCGCCCTGGCACCAAATTTAAAGTAATTAGCAAAAACGAAAAACTGGCCTTTGCTTTCCGCGTCTTCCTTCGGTTCCGTGCAAATGGGAGGACCCCTGATATATAAATTGCTTGCGGCGTCATGCTGCTTCTTCGTTGTTAAAGTTCAAAGCTTTTTTCACATCAAATCAAGCACAGTTTTCGTCACAGACAACTTGACTTGAGATGATGAACTCTTTGTCGCCGAGCATCAAGTGCTCAGCAGCCAAATTGGGGTTGCTGCTGTTGTTTATAATGGTTTGCTTTCGACGTTCGTTTGCTGTTTGTTTGTTTTTTGTTGTTGTTTCCTCTGTTTTAGCTGGTGTTTTTTACGAGTTAACAGACAGATTTTTTTATTTTTTGATGTTTGAGCTTCTGCGCTGCACCAGAGATTAACCCAGGACGGAAGCTAGAATGAGCAATGCTCCTTGAAAACTCACCGTTTTAACATTTTCACAGTCTCGTCTTTTAATAGCGGCCGAATATACTGAACTAAGTTTCAAAAGTATTTCAAATTTGTTTTGATAAATCTTTAGAAGTAAATAGTACCGTGTAAAAGTTATGCTAAATAAGAATTTAATTCAGAAAGATAACAAAAGATTTCGTCCAAAAAAGTACTAAAAGTCTTACTACTTCTAAAGATAAAAAATTATCAAAGCCCACAACAGCACTCACCTAAGGTCTTCGAAAACTCATTCTTCGTATCAAGTTAAAACTTTGTCAGATATCGCTGTGAAAGCTTGGAAGGTTATCTCCAGCGCTATCTTTGAAATTATTCCCACCGTGTATAAGTAGCTTGATACACAAGCAGGTGTTGGATAACTTATTCAAATAGTTTATTTCTCCGAGTCATCTCCAAGGGTGTCCACTCAATTTCCCACAGGGGGGCGGGGGTATTTGTCGGGCATTTGTCAAGTAGTTGGTTTCGGCTGCGATGGGAATAGGGAATTTGTCATCATTGCTGAATTTCACATTTTCAACCATTTATAAAAAAGAAATATTTAATTTTATAAGTAAATTATGCAGTTATTATGTGAATATTATTGCTATTTCTGAACGCTAGCCAGTGGAAAGCTTATAAGCATGGCTACTTTTACAACATTTTGGAAAGAAGAACAATCTATTGTAGTTGGGCGGAAGGCATTCAGGGGGTCTTTGAAAAGTTACGCCAAAT